TTTGGGAACAAAAGATGAATAATGAAGCTGGTCAGCTATTAGGAAATCTGCAGCTCAGCTAGCGACTGGGACCTTGAACTTAGTTTCACCCTATGCTAAAAATGGAATCTGAAAACAAATGGTAGTACTCAGGACACATTTCTTTTTCTTATTCCCAAGTTTCTTTTGCTTGTTCTCAATAAATGGTTCTTCACACAATGGAGAGCATAGGCCAGGTTGTCTATTTTGTATCTATGACAGATGTAGAAATCACCCCCTAAGCAGCCTATGTAGATAGCAGATGCTCCACAAATGAGGCTAGCTCCCCTTGATTTTGGTGATAAAATGCCCAGTTTCCCATGTGCTCTTACTGTTATAAGTCCTTTGTGAACCTTCACGGCATGTTTCACTGAATACTATCTGATAAAATTTACTGACATCATTTCAAATAGTTTTCATGTAAACAGGTTGTTGAGGTTGTTTTGGAGCCAAATTTATCCAAAATGGCTTCTTCCATGGGGCCTTAATGTCCATGGACATGAGTGATATCTGATATTGTGGAACCTGAGTGTGAACTGCCATTAGATATATTCTCCAACACATGATTTTTACTTAGATTGTGATCCTCAGATGCAGAGCCTCTGGGAAGACAGTGTCCAAAGTCCCTCCAGTAGAAAGGATCCACCTAGGAAAAAAAAATCATGAATACACACTTGTGCTCTCTCTTGGCTACAGCCATAAATGCAGCTAGAATACATAGGTCCGCATTTCATATGCTGATCAGCATGGCACTTGAAAATCTGCACTGTTCGGGTGTAGAGCAGAACAAAGATGTTGACTTTGATTTCTTTTTTCTCCTGGACATTCATGTTCTTATAGACAGTTTCATCCATTCCAGGTGTTTTGGAGATTGAAGCAAAAAGAAGAAAATGATGGGGATGCCAGGAAAGGCTTATCTTCTCTCTTAGAGCAATAATGTGACCCATAGAAAATTAGTATTTCAATTACATTCTGGATATACAGTACTTTTATATTTTCCATGGATATGCTATCCTTAATACTTTAGGAGCTTTCTCAGTATGGAAGAAGAAATGTGGTGAGTCCTCTGTCCTGTTCTCCCAGCCTCAATACCTAGAAACAACCCCAAAGGGCTAATATCCAGAATATATTAAAGCTATAATCTTAAGTTATGCAATTTTCCATGTCACAGGGCCAGAAAATGTATTATGTATCATTTGCTGAAAGCATCAAACACAGAGGATAAAAGCAACCTCCTAAAATGAATATGCCTTTATGGATACTGGTTGATAAACAGGGATGTTCAAAAGTGTTTGTTATCTTGATTAGTTGGGATCAGTTGGAGCCAGTGACCTAATGTCTTCTAAAACTCTCTTAAAGATTCCTGTTAGAGTATCACATTTTTTTTTCCTCTTGTGTGATGCTTTCCTTTCTGCTCAATAAAAACAGAACAGCTTTTTGTTAGGGACATAAAGCCACATACTGACAGACACACAAAAACAACAGACAGACACATTCAGAGTATACAGACAAACACATGCACAGAGACATATGACAGGCACACAGGGACAGATCCACAAGATAGTATTCAGACAGGCACAGATTCAAACTCATGCCACAGACAGACAAAGGATAGAAGGTACAGGGAGCATAAAGCAGAGAATTTAAATTTGGACTGGCTCTTGTTAAATGACTCAAAGGGTAAAGGCTTTCTTTTCTTTTTTAACTCAGATACATTCTTAGTCACTAATGTGTTTAATCAACTCACATAGGCAGACTCAATTAGCTTGTAATGTTTTTGTTGGCATAAGCTAGGAAACAATAAAATGTTCCGCAGTGTGAAACAAGCAGCCCTACCATCTGAAATGTAGCCACAAAGTCAGAACCCCATGCTTTAAGAAAAGACCCCAAGCCCTGGACATCCTTCTTTGTCTGAGCTCTCACCTCCCTGCAGAGCTGGGATTCTGTTTAACCCGTCATGATTCTGACAGCACAGTCTGAACCAGAGAGCCCACCAGAGAATTCTAGTCTTCATTGTCAACATCTGTTTCTTAGGTAGAATCTCTAAGGAGATTTCAATGATTCTGGAGTCCCTTTTTCCCAGCCTTTGCTGATGTGCATACAGAGATTTGTAGAGGACAATCAGGAAACCATTTCTGACCAAATAGCCAAACAGTGTCATATTTATCATAGTTCTATTTCTGGGGTAATTTTTTTTTTTCAGAAAACCTAGAAAGTTTCCAAAGTGGTTGCTCTAGTTCACACTCCCACAATAGTGTAAAATATTGTCACTTTCCTTAAATTTATGTCAGAATATATTTATTCTAATAATGGCTATTCTTACTGGGATGAAATGGATTAATAAGGGAGATTTAGTCTGTATGTCCCTAAGAGGTGTGCTGGACTTGGTGTTAACAGGACTTGAGACATACCCACGCTAAGTTCACAGCCTAATCAGCAGACAGGAGCGTAAAGCACAGCTGCTGCCTTCTGACTTTAAAAGCCTCCAGACAACTACGTTGGAAACTCTAAAAGAAATGGTAGACCACCCCGATTCATACCACATAGCAAAATTACACCAACATGAAATAAACGAATAAGTATCAACAACCACCGTGAAGCAATAATAAATGCGTACCCCTTAAAAAACAAACAAACAAACAAAAAATGAGAGGCAGTTTGATTCATCACAGAATTCTGTCAAAACTAGCCCTTAGGTTCTGTTTCTCGGTTGCCCAGGAACCTATGATGTCATCACGGGTCACTTGCCAGGTGTGGTGGGTGCACCTGGCAGTCGGACACACCTGGCAGTTGGGGTTCAATTGTGCAGGAGCTCAGCTGTGCCTCTTAGCTCTCTCTCTTGTGCCCTCTGGTTCTTGCTCTCTGGTTCTCTCCTGCTCTCTCTGCTTTCTCTGTCCTGTGTGCCCTCCACTCTCCCTATCGTGTCTCTCTCTCCTTCCCTTTCTCCATCCAATAAACGTCTTTCACACAGTATCTGTTATGCACATCATCTCTAAAATAACATAAATCCCAACAGCAGCCACTGGAGAAATCCCCCTATAATGAGTCACCCGGTGTTGAGACCCTTTCCTGGCCTCCCCTCTACCCCCGCCCAGTTGGAGCTGTGTCACCCACACATTCGTGTGTCCAGGAGGGAGGTCAGGGGACCCTGGGAGCACAGGGCAGGCCAGAGACCCACATGACTGCACCTCTCTCTCCACAATCCTCTCTCTCTCTCTCTCTCTCTCTCTCTCTCTCACACACACACACACATGTATAGGGTCTCCTCCCCACACACAGTGGGGCAGGATCTCCACCCTGTTTACCTATCAGCTTGAGAAGCCTCAGGACTCCTGACAGGAGTCATGTAACCTCCTTGGGCAACTGCCCAATCTCAACTGAGGCCACTGTATCCTCAAAGGCACCTAGTGGTTTGGGCTAGTTTGAACAAGTTTGAAGAGCCCCTAGCCCCTGACCAGGACCCTCAGCCAATTCCTAGTATATTCCTACCCTTGCCTCTGACCAGTGCCAATCAGAGTAAAGTTGTTCCTGGAACTCCCTGAGTTGGCCTTGAATCGGGCTTGTGGGCACAGAGCCTTCCATAGGGTCAGGCCCCCTTTGCCACCCTCCCTCATCCCTCTAGTAGAACACTCTAGCACTGTCTGCTCTGTGTAGTCTGATGTTCCTGCCCCTCAGTATCCGCTCCCCCACACTGCCTCAGTGTCCCTCCCTCCACACCTTCCATAATCCATTGCTGCCTCAGTATCCTGTCCTGCTACCTCAGTACATCTCTAGCTCTGTCAGTGTCCCTTCCCCCACCTCAGTATGTCTCCCCACCTCCAGTGCCTGCCTTGGTGTCCCTCCCCACTGTCCCACTTCTTCAGCGTACCCCCCCAGCCTCGGTGCTGTCCTCACCCTTTCCTCCCACAGCAGCAGTATTCCCCTTCCTACCCCTACCCCTGCCTCTATCCCCCATCACTCCCACCCCCTGCTCTGCCTCAGTGTCCCCTTCCTTCTGCCTTGATCCTCCCCACCCCACTGTTTCACTATCCTGTGTTACAGCCCCCTAGGTGTGTCCCTCCCTGGCTGAGTGCCCCCCAGTTCCCTCAGTTTCCCCTCCTGACAGCCTCAGTGTCCTGTCTAATCTTGCATGGATGTCCCCTCTTCCACCCCACCCATTGCCATCCTCCAGCTGCCTCAGTTTCCCCCTCTTCATCTCACACCGGGCTCCTCAGGTCTGAGAACTGAGAACTGAGAACTGAGAACTGAATGCTGAGCTGGTCAGAGACTGTGCGACACCCCTGGTGGCAGTAGAGGGTAGCTGGGAGGACATGGTGTGGGGAACTTGGAGAGGAGGGTGGGGATACTGGGCAGAGCAGGCTGACATTACCTCTCAGCACATAAGAATGCCTTGACCTGCACTGGGCATGCAGTAAACACCAACTGTGTGCATGACCATATCCTGTGTGTGACATCACGGTGGCCACGCCCCCTGCAGGGTCTAGGCAGGATCACTCAGGGAGTCAGTCCTTGTCCTGCATCAGCTGTGAAGACCTGCAGAGGGGGTGAAGGTCAGTGACTGAAAGGAGAGGGTAAGGGGTCATATGGGGGTGAGGGGAAGGTCAGTGACTGAGGGGTAAGGGTCACATGGGGGAGTGAGGGGTCACAGGAAAGAGTGAGGGGTCACATGAAGGAGTTAGAGGACACATGGGAGGAGTGAGGGGTCATATTGGCTGAGTGAAGAGTCACATGGCAAGGGACTCAGGAACCCAGGGGGGTCACAAAGGGAAACTAAGGCAGAGTGTGGAAGTGTCTGAGGCAGAGAGGTCCCCAAGGATGAGAAAGGCCTAGAACCCAGCCCTGTCCAGACAGAAGTGGGTTCACCGGGTCAGGGGCCTCCTGCCTCAATTTCCCCTCTGATACATCCCTGAGGTGTGTGCCCAATCCCTGTGACTGTCCTGTGGGTGTGCTGGTCCCCCCACTCCATGGACTGCGCTGAAGACTGGATGTCGCTGCTGAGCCCACAGCTGTGGGACATCCCTCTGCACCAGCTGTCCATCCCAGGTGAGTGCTGGACAAGTCGGCGGCTGTGCAACTGGTGCCCTGTGACGTCCCTGTGAGCCTTCCACTGTCAAGACCCAGAAGGAAGGAGAGGGATCTGCACAGGACTGGGCCACAAGGTGGTTGTCACAGTGAGCTCACGTGCAAGATTCAACGTCTGTGTCCTGGAATCTCAGGGTCTCCATCAGAGTCCAAAGGACTCTCATGGGGCCTGTTCAGTGTGTGTGTGTGCTTGTGTGTGGTTGGGAGGTTGTGGGCCGTCGGGGTGGGTGCAAGCTGTGGGAGAGCAGCTGTCAATCAGTGTCAAGGACCCAGCAGGTCCCCACAGTGGGAGGACAGCAGCCTCTCCCCCTCCCCTGCCTGTCAATCACACAGAGGGAGGGCCTGGGACCTGTGTGGGGTTCTGTGGGGAAACTGAGGGAGGGATATAATGACTGTCCTGGCAGGGTTAGGACACCCCCTGGGCTCCTTGGCTGACCATTACCAATGATGTGCCTGTTCCTGGTACATATGGGTGATAACACTCATGTGTCTGTTGGAGACTGAGCAACACACACAGGTGTCTGTGGGAGCTTGGCCTGTGACCTCCACATGTCCGTGGCCACACGTGGGTGCTGACTTGTATGCTTGCGTGTAAACAGTGACGTGCATGTCCCTTGGGGCGAGAGTGGGTAACGTGCGGGTCTCTGTGGTGCAAGCGTGGGTGATATGTGATAAGTAAGTATGTGGTCAGGGATGCATGTTTCTGTTGGAGCAAGAACTGGTGAGGTTCTCACGTCTGTGGGTGTCCCGTGTGTATTCGTGGGAGCGATCATGGGTGACTCCGCGCAAGTGAGCGTGGGCGGTGACATGCGTGTTATATGGGCATGTGTAGGCTGTGGTAACGGGACTCCGTTGTTTTCCATGGCCGCGGATGCCCGTGATCCTGCAGGCAGCCATGACACGATGACGTACTGCCTGAGCAGGGAGTTCCCAATCTCCCGTGAGCGCTCCAGGATGCTGCACCTGCTGGGTAGGTTCGCGCCCTGCATCACATGGCCTGTGGTGCTGAGGTGGTCGGTCACGCAGGTGAGTCCAGGGGAGGGAAAGCCCCTTCCTGTAGACGAAGAATAGGAGCCAGCCGGGGGACAGGGTGGGGGACCACGTGGTGTAGCAGGGGTCAGGGTGAGTCAACCCCCACTCCCCATACAGACCCCTCTACCTGCTTGGTCACTTGGTCCAACACATGCCCTGCAGACCCTGGATGTGACAAAGCAGCTGGACACCGGTGTGCGGTACCTGGACCTGCGCATCGCACATGCGCCCTGCGGGTCAGCGAAGAATCTGCGCTTCGTGCACATGATGTACAGCTCGGCGCTGGTGGAGGTGAGTGGGCATGCGGGGTGCTATTGCTGTCCATGGTGGTGTAGGTATTGCGAACCCACGTGATCTTACAGCATGTCCCTCCCTCCTGGAATTGAGGAAGGGCTTAGGGTAGAGGGAGGAGCAACTGACTGAGTGGTGACATAAGCCCGCAGGGTGACTTCATCCTGTGACGTCAGCCAGCCTGTGGTGTGAGCCTCTGACATTTTCCCGGGTGGGGGTAGATGGAGACTTAGGGTTCGGGGGCCTGGTGGTGACATCAGCCCTTGACAAGAGCCCATGACACATCCTGAGTTATGGCCCATGATGACATGGTCCAGTGACACGGCCTGTGATGCCCCAGGACACCCTCACGGAGATCTGCGAGTGGCTGGAGTCGCATCCACGAGAGGTCGTGATCCTGGCCTGCAGGGACTTCGAGGGGATGACGCCCGAGCTGCACGAGTACCTCGTGGGGTGCATCAAGAACATCTTCGGGGATGCGCTGTGTCCAAGAGGGGTGGGGACAGGCGTGGGCTCGAGGATGTTTAGGGGTGTAGGGGGGTGAGCATGGGCTTACGGGAGGGGGAGGGCTTGGGCTCCAAGGGAGAGGAAAGCATGGGGTTGGGGATGGGGAAGCGCAATGGGTGGGGCAGGGAGGGGCGTGGGCTCTTTTGTTGGGACAGGCATGGGAGGCAGCCCCATACTCCCACTCCCTCACCTTCCGCAGCTCCTTGCAACCCTTGCACCCTGCCTGTGCCACCCCCACCCCGCCCTCACGTGCCCTCCTCCTCATGCAGGACATCCCCACGCTGCGGCAGCTGTGGGCGTGCGAGCAGCAAGTGATCGTGTCCTATGAGGACGAGGCCACAGTGAGCCGCCACGAGCAGCTGTGGCCGGGGATCCCGTACTGGTGGGCGAACAAGCAGGACACGCAGGACCTGCTGCACTACCTGGACACCATGAAGGGCTGCGGCCGCCCAGGTGCCACGCGGGAATTCGTAGGGGTGTGCTGGGGAGGGTGTCCTGTCAGTCACGTGGGGCAGGTTGGGTCGTCATTTTCTTGTCAGTCACGCATGGGGCCAGGCTGCGCTGACCAGGTGCCTCGCAGAAGGGTTTAGGGGTAGGGTGGCTGCAGTCAATGACTCGGATCAGGTCTGGACATTAAACTGACAGTCACGCGGGAGGCGGCGGAACATCAATGACATAGGACAGGGCAGGATTCTGGGGGACAATGCCATTCTCACATTCCAGTGGTTTATGCTGAGAGTGTGTGTCTCTGTGAGCAGCTGCGGAAGTTACCCTGTCAATCATATAGCACAGGGAGGGACATCATCCTGTCAATCACATGGGATAGGACAGGACATCTGTGATCTGTGGGGCAGACACCCTGTCATATGGTGACTCTAGACACTGATGTGAGGGTGTCTGCTGACATCACCCCACGTCTCAAGCTGGTTATGACGCCACGACCCCCCATCGTTCCAGGTGGCCTGTTTGTGGCGGGCACGAATCTCACGGAGAACCCAAGCTATGTGCTCTCCCACCCATCCGGGTCAGTAGAGAAGATGACTTTGCAGGCCCTTCCTGCCCTGACCAACTGGGTGTGTGCACAGCTTCCGGGGCAGGAGTCCTACTGTACCAACATCATCGCAGGTGACTTTGTGGGAGCCAGCAGTTTCGTGAGCGATGTCATAGCGTTGAACAGGAAGCTCCTGCCGCCCTGACAACCTGGCCCCACCCTAACAGGGACCTCTGACACCTGCTGGCTCTGGTATCCAAGGAGCCTCTGCCTGCCAGTCACTTCCGATCACTTCCCACAGCAGAGACTCAGGGAAGCATAGTCAGAACCCTGAGGTCATGAGACTTGCCACATGCTGCCCACATCACTGGCGCCCTCCTTCATTAAACTATTCCAAAGCTAACCTGAGTACAAGAACGTTTGCCCACTTGGGACCTTACTTTTGTGCAAGGCAGTGAGTATGGATCTCTTTGCATTTTTCTACATGTAGATATCCAGTCAAACCACCACCATTTGTTGAAGATGTTTATTTTTCTATTATATTGTTTTGGCATCGTTGTCAAAAAACAGCTGTGCGTAAGTGTGTGTGTTTATTTCTGGGTCTTCTCTTCGAGTCCAATGATCCAAGCTGTTCCGAAAGTGCCAGTACCATACAGGTTTTATTGCTGTTGCCCTATAAGGAATGGCGATACCTCCAGCAGATCTTTTATGGTAGAGGACAGTTTTAGCAGTTCTGGGTTTCTTGTTATTCCATATGAAGTTGAGATGTTCTTCTTTCAAGGTCTACACAAGTGATGTGACATGTGGCCTCAGGTTTCACTTCAATGTTGCAAAGCGTACACTCTCCCACTCCTGGTGGACTCCTCTCTCCTCCCTTTCCTTTGCTTAGCCCTCCCTCCCACTCCCCTCTGTCCTACCATTAGGGGTGACATGGGTGGGGTCATGTATAAAGGGCATGAGAAAGAGGAAGCCACAGAGCAGGAAAGGCTACAACGATCAGGTGATGGCATTCCCACAGTGGGGTCCTGCCCATCACACCCACCCCATGACCCTGAATGTCCACAACCACTTCCTGCAGGTGGCCTTCATCACCCAACCCCAGTGCCCCTACCCCCTCTCCCTCCATGTGATGCTGACAGTCTACACTCACATTCCCAGGTGACACGGACCTCCCCCAAACCCCTCTCCACTGCCCATCCTAGACTATAACCCTGAGAGTGGACACAGTGCAAGTCCTGTTTTATTGAGCAGCTGTCAGTCAGTGTGGGAGGCAGAAAGTGGCGGGGCTCCAGGATGGCCCACACCCTCCCACTAGCAGCTGTCAGTCAGTTCAGGAAGGAGAGGAGAGCGGAGCTATGTGCTGTGCGTAGCCTAAACCCTCCCACCAGCTGGGTCCACTTCTGGTCCACTTAGGCCAGCTTGTCACTTAAAGAACACCAGGGAACAACTTCCGGAACCTGCAGAGGGCAGCCTGGCTGATGATGACGGTCAGCTGGGCCGTGCACTCATCGGGCATCTCTTCTAGCTGCTGCACCGTGGCCTCTGCATACAGCCAGCTGTGGGGAGACAGGTGCAAACTGAGACACACAGATGCACACTGGAGGGGTACACACAGGTGCACGCTTTGGGAAAACAAGTGCACACTGTGACCCACAGATGCATGCTGGGACCCACAGGTGCATTCTGGTACCCACAGGTACAAGTTGGGTGCATATGGGGGTTGACACACAGGTACATGCTGGGAAGGAGGGGCAGGGAAGCACAGGTACACAACTCACCTCAGCTCTACCCCACCTAACGGCACTTGGAGGGTGACAACTGTCCGGCCAGTGGCCTGTAGCACCAAGCCCTCCAGTGCCTCCTTCAGCTCATCTAGGCCAAGTCCCGAGGTAGCAGACACAGTCAGTGCACCTGACACCGTGGGTTGGTACCTGGGGGGGGGGCATCAAGAAAAGGGACAGGTATAGGGGGGACACAGGTGTGTGTGGGCAGTTGGGGGGACAGAGACACAGGTGCTGGGGGACACGTGTGGGAATTACAGGACATGCAAATGCATGTAGCAGGTGGGGGTGGACAGGTGTAGGGAAGAAAAAGGTTGGAAAGACACAGGTGTGGAGGGAATACAGGAGGAGGGACACAGATGGGGGAGACACAGGTGGAGAGACATAGGTCAGGGAGGACACAAGTAGGAGACAGACAGTTGTGGGACACAGGTGGGGCAGACACAGGTCCAGGACAGACAAAGGTTGGGGATACACAGGTATGGGGGGACACAAGTTGGGGAACACAGTTGTGGGGAAAAACAACTGTGGGGGAGACAGGTGTAAGACATAGATGTGACACAAATGTCAGTGGGGACAGGTGTGAGGAAGACAGGTGTGAGGAAGACAGGCGTGGAGGAGACAGGTGTGGGGGAGATACAGGTGGTAGGGACAGAGGTGTGGGGGAAGTATGCACAGCTGAACAGGGGAACACAGGTGGAGGGGACATAGGAGGGGGAAACAGTGGGGGAGCACAAGTGTGTGGGACCGGTTGGGGAGACACACTGGGGGACACAGATGTGGGGAGACATGGGGGTGACAGGTGTGGGGAGACACAGGTGGGGGATATGGCTGCGGACACAGCCCCCACTCACCCTGGCACCAGGTCCACCTTATTGTGAACCTCGAGAACAGTGTCCAGCAGGGCAGGAGGCAGGCGCAGGCCCTGGAGTGTGGACAGGACAGTTTCCTTCTGCAGCTCAGTGTCCGGGTGTGCCACATCCCTCACATGCACAACCACATCCTGGGGGAAAGGGGCCACAGAAGGTAACTGAGGTGTGATCCGAAAGGGCAGATGGGGCAGGCCTGTGAGGACAACATCCCCCAGCCGGGACACGTGTGACCACACCTACTGAGTGAGCCACGTCCCCCAGCGTGGCAGAGAAGGCCTGCATGAGCCCATGCGGTAGCCGGGACAGGAAGCCCACAGTGTCCATGTACAACACGGGCACTCGGGATGGCAGCCACCCCGCATGGGCGGTCACATCCAGAGTTGCGAACAGCTGGTCTCGTGGCTGCAGGGCAGCGTCCCCAGTCAGCGCCTTGATAAGCGTGGTCTTCCCTGTAGTGGGAGGACAAGCATGCAGGGCACACACAGAGGACAGCCTTCCTCCCTCCCCCTCTAGATGTGTCCCCACCACCATGTCCCGAGATGCCTAGGGATGTCAACCCAGGCCAGGTGCCCAGGCTCATGTGTTCCCCACGCGCCCTCACCGCTGTTTGTGTAGCCCACCACAGACACCACAGGGAACTCTCGCTTGGTACGCAGCTTCCGCAGCAGGTCACGCTTGTCTCGCAACCGAGCTAGTGCCTGCCGGATCCGAGCCTCCCGGTCCCTCAGCGCCCGCTGCCGAAGCTCCGTGGCTGACACCCCTGCAGCACAGGGACAGGTGTGTCCATCACAGGTCGGTGTCCTGTCCATCACAGGACAGAAGTTTTGTCCATCATGGGTCAGTCCTGTCCATCACACGTCCTGTCCACAGTCAACCCTTTCTATCACAGGTCAGTCCTGTCCATCATGTCACCCTTACCTAATCCTGTGAAGCTAGTTACCAATCCTATGATATCACCCTTACTGGATCACACGATGTCACCCTTACCTGACCCCATGATGTACCGTGAACCCTGTCCTGGCTGGTTCTGTGTGGTTGTTCTAGTGCTGAGGGTGGACCTGGGGCAGAAACAGAAGTTGTGGAGGTGGGGTTGAGCCTATCTCCAGGGAGCTGGTGTAATGGGTGGTGCTGGGGATTCTGGGAAGGCACCTGAGCAGGATGACATGGGAGTGGAGTACTGCAGGGGATTCTGGGAAGGCACCTGAGCAGCGGGATCTCTGCCAGTGCCAGCTGCAGCCGGGCCTCTCGGGTTCGTGCGTTACAGCGGAAGACGTGGAGGACCACGGTGAACCTGTCCAACACGGGCACGCCCCACGAGGCCTCCAGGGCAGTCTGCAGGGACACGGGCACACATAGGGTCTGTGTGGACACAGGCACTCATGGGGGTGAGGTCACCACAGTCGAAGATGGGCACATTCGTGGACCTTGGTTTGGACTGACATCCTCTCCACATTCAGGAAGACACACGTGATGTCCTGGCTCCCTCGGATCTTCTCTGGTGATGGAGACAGTGATGTTAGAGGAGACATGGGTGCGCAGGGGGGATGGTTGGGTGGCAACAAGAGCAGACACACACACACACACAGTCAAGCATGATGACTCAAGGAAGGGGCGAGAGCCACTCACCAGTGACGTCCCGGAAGTTGCCTTTCCCGAACACCATCTTGCTGTCGGGAACTCTCGTGGGTACCACCAGGGTCCTCGCCACTGACCACCCTGGCAGCGTACACACCAGAGAGGCTGCTTCTGCCACATCATTCTCAGCTGCAGGGACAGAGGACTTTGGCAGGAGCAGAGACATCCAGGGCCGCCTCAGCCACCTGGTCCCACCCTCCAAGGCCCTGTCCCACCTCTAAATCTTGGTGATCTAGGCCATGGCCCTAAGTCTACCCTGTGTCCCAAGCTCACCATATACCTGTCTATAGAACAGCCCAAGGCTCTGCCAAAGACCACCTAGGCCACACCCCGGAACCCACCCTGACTCCACCCTACATGCACACCCAGGCTCCGCCCACCGATGCCACAACCTCAGAGTTATGTTCTGGCACAAAACTCTCAGGCTCCTTGAAACTCCGCCCCAAGCTGACCCAGGCCCCGCCCCAGCCGGCAATAACCTGCCCACCAAGGCCCTGTGCCATCCCTCACACTTGAAAACTCCGTCCTGTGTCACCAAGACCTTGCTCCCCACACCTTGTCCAATCCCTCCACCTTAAGCTCAGGAACTCGGCGCTCCACTCTCCCTAACCAGGACCTCTGCCAAATCTACACCCAGACGCTGCCCTCCACACTCACAATAAACCGGTCTTCAGAACAGATTCAGGCACTGCCCAGGCTCTCCAAGGCCCCTCCCACGCACGGTCCCACACTTAGGCTCTTAATCCCTGCCCCACGCTCACCGAGAGCACGCCCCTCCACCCAACCTGACTCAGGCCCAGGATCATCTCGGCTATCTTCACGACAGCCCTAGGCCACTCCCACGCGCCTACCCAGGGGGCCTCATGGCGACGCCCATCATTTTCCCCCGCCCCCTAGGTGTGTCCTCCAACTCATGTGTCCTGTTACCCCTCCCCTTCCAGTGACCCAGCCCGTCCGGGCCACGCGCCTCCCTGGACCTGTGGAACGCATCGTCCTTGCGGCTGGGCCTTTGACGTCAGGGTGCAGGATGCACACGCGATGTGCGGAGGACAGCAGCGGAAGCGGCGGCTCTGCGTCCAGCAGCTCCTCTTCCTCCTCCCCGTGCTCGGTCGGCTGCCCCTCCCCGTGCGCGCGTACGAACCCCGTCCAGGCGCTCCCGGGGCCCCGGAGGCCGCCGCTGACGTCTCGCACCGGCCATGGCGGCGGGGTCTGTGCGCGGCTCTGGGCTGTAAGGACCCGCCGTCCTCGCAGGAGTCGGAGCCCCGGGAGGAGGGCGGCGCGCAGGGGCTGCATGGGAAGGAGCCCCGTCAAGGGAAGTGGTCCTGCGCGTGCGCACGCGGAAGGGGCGGGGCCAAGGAGGGCGGGGTCAAGAAGGTGGTTTGGGGCCTGTGCAGGCAGAGACGGGGCGGGAGGGGTCCCCCCAGGAAGCACAGCAGGTAACGTGGGTGCTGGGACGGTCTGCGCGTGGGGGAGCCGTGACGTTATGGCGCTTGTCAAAGAGGTTGTGTCTGGCGGACTCGAGAGGAAACCGCTGAGAAGTCTCCGGATTAGGAGCCTCCCCGAAGGGTGACTTCCTCGGCTGGAAGTCACGTGCTTATCGTACTATAGGGAGCTGATGGGCCTGTGGGATGTCACGCCCGGTCCCCACGCACCCGTCACGTGCCTCAAGGACACCTAGCACCCCACGCATGGGCTTCCAAGACTCATAGGAGTGAAAGCAGGAGGCGCTGGAGCGCTGAAGTCACCGGGACTGGCATGTCACCGTCCCTGTTCCTACACAGAAATTCCTAGATCCGGGTGATTACGTGACTGGCTGACATTTCCTCTACCATGTGTCACACACAAGCATCTGACTGTGCTCTGAAGTCCTACTGTCAGGTGTCACACGTTAAGCCTCCACTGTCATGTTTAATGTCTAGGTAAAGCTTAAGCATAAATCAAGCTCTCTTTTTCCTTTTCTTCCTAACTTCCTTCCTTCTTCCCTTCCATCCATCTGTCCTTCGGTCCCTCTGTCTTTGGTTTCTTGGTTTTAACCTAGCACACCCTGAGGGACCAATGAAATTGTACGGCTTCCCTGCAGAGATTACCTTGGGCTTTCAAGACTGACTGGCAGGAGCATCGTGAGGCTAGCTATATTGGAAAGTCTGCCTAGTATAAATGATGGCTTCTCATAAGCGTATAGGTAGCTCCCCTTTGGTTAACATCTGTCCCTTGTGCAAAGTTCACTTGTGGCTTTTGTTTTCTAAGTTACTAACTACATAAATAAACAAATAATGAGAAGTCAGTGGAAGAGTTGCTCTTTTTTTCTCTTCATGTAATCTGTTTGACTAGTTCTGTGTGTGTGTGTGTGTGTGTGTGTGTGTGTGTGTCTGTTGGCCTACCTGCCTGTGTGCGTCTGCCCCACCTCAAAGATACACTGAGAAACCTTGTCTCAAGTAAGCTAAAATAAGTCTGCCTAGCACATAGAAGGAGTTCCACCCCAAGTAGTTATGTTTTAATTACAAAAAATAATTAAAACAAGCAGTTCATTGCTGCTCTGCCTTAGATTCTCCCTGTAACATCCTCCCAAGTGGGCTCACTGTAACAGACTCCATAGAGGGATCACTCTAATGTCCTCCACAATCAGGTCACTGTAATGTTCTCCCTAGTGGGGTCACTGACATGCACACAGTGAGCTCACAGTGATGAACTCCCCAGTAGAATCCTTGTACTGTCCTCCCCGGTAAGGTCACTGTAATAGTTTACACAGTGGAGTCAATGTAATGTCTTCCCTAGTAGGTTCAGTTAATGTCCTCCCCAGTGGGGTCACTGTGAAGTCCTCCCCAGTGCGGACACTGTAGCTTCCTGCACATTGGAGTCACAGTATTGTCCTCCAAAGTGAAGTCACCATAACATCCTTTCCAGTGTGGCCACTGGAATGTCATCCTCAGTGGGGTCATTGTGATGTCCTTTTTAGGGGGTGATCAGTGAAATGCCTTTCCCAGTAGAGTTGTATTTAGATCCATCCTGTAAGGTCATTATGATGGCCTCTCTAATATGGTCACCATGATGTTCTCCTCATAAAGGTCCCTATAGCATCTTCCTCAGTGGGATCACGGTGATACCCTCCCCAGTGAGGTCATAGTGATGTCCTCTCCAGTTGGGATACTGTAATATCCTCCCCAGTGTGGATATTTTGAGTTTCTTTGTAGTAGGACACTGTAATGTCCCCTCAAGTGGAGTTACTGTAACAACCTGCCCAGTGGGATCACTGTACCTCCACCCCCCCACTGAAGTCCCCCCAGTGGGGTCACTGTGATGTCCTCCTCCGTGCTGTCACTGTAACATCTTCCCAAGAGCGATCATGTTAACTTGCACACAGTGACCTCACTGTGATGTTTTCCCCAGTTAGGTAACTAATGTCCTTCCCGTTGTGTTCACTGTAACATCTCCTCAAGGGGTCACTGTATCACCCTGTCTAGTGAGGTCCCTGTCACGTACTCCTGCCTGGGGTCAGTGTAACATCCTCCCCTGTGGGGTCACTATGTCCTCAGTGTAGTCGCTATAAAGTCTTCTCCGGTGGGGACACTGTAATATCCTCCCCAGTGGGGGGTCACTGTATTTTCCTCCTTTGTGGGGTCACTTTAACATTCTCCCCAGTAGGATCACTGTAATGCCCCCCCAGTGGGATCACCATGATGTGCTCCCCAGTGGGGTCACTGTAATGTCCTCGCTGTTAGTGTCACTATGTGTCCCCCCTGGTGGGTTCATCATAATGTCCTCCCCAGTGGGGTCAATATAATATTCTTTCCAGTTTCATCCCCGTAACATCCTCCCCAGAAGGTCACTGTAATGTCCTCTCAAGTGGGATCACTGTAACCTCCAGTAAGGTGACTGTAATATCCTCACAAGTAGAGTCTCTGTAACGTCTTCCCCAGGGAGGTAACTGTAACATTCTCCCCATTGGGCTCACTGTAATGTCCTTCCCACTGGGGTCACTCAGTTCCCACTGTAATGTCTTCTCCAGTAAGGTCACAGTAACGCCTTCTCCTGTGGGTTTACTGTAACATCTTCTCCACTGAGGGAACTGTAACTTCCTCCCTAAGGAGCTCATTGAATGTCCTCCTTAGTGGGCTCACCACAGCACCCTCATCAGTGAGGTGACTGTAATGTCCTCCACAGTGGAGTCTGAAACGCCCTTTCCAGTGAGGTAAGTGTGACATCCTCTCCAGTGGTGTCACTGTAACATTCTCTACAGTAGGTCACTATACTCCCCAGTGAAGTAACTGTGATGTTCTTCCCAGCATGATAACGATAACATTTTCCTCTGTGAGGTCACTGTAACCATGTCCTAGGTGGTGTCATTTTATGTCCTTTGCAGTGACATAAAACATCCTGCCTAATGGAGTCACTGTCTTTCCCTCCCAGTAGTGTTATCATGACGCACTCCCCAGTGAGGATACTGTAATGTTTTTTTCCAATGCAGTCACTGTATTGTGCCCTCCCCTCCAAGTGCATTCACTGTACGTCCTTCCCAATGGTGTCACTATAACATCCTCCCTGTGAGGTCCCCCTAACATCCTCCTGAGTGGAGTCACTGTAACATCCTCCCCAGTGAGGGCACTATAATACCCTCCCCAGTTGGTCAGATTAACAACTTTTCCTGGGGCTAACTGTAATGTCCTCCTTGGTGAGGTCACTGTAACGATTTCCCTAATTGGTTAAGTGGAATGTCCTCCCTAGTGTGGACATAGCGATATCTTCCCAGGTGAGGTCACTGTCTTCCCCAGTGTTATCTCTATACTGTTTTCCCCAGCGGGGTCACTATAATGTGCACACAGTGAAATCACTGTGATATCCTCCAGTTGCATGGATTGAGCAGCTACCATGTTCTCAGCCTCCCAGTGTACAGAAGGTCACTGAGATGTTCAGCCTGCATGGTGTATGCCAGTCTAATGCAAAACCCTTTATTTACTTAGCCATCTTGCTGGTCTAAGAATTCAGAAATGAAGTTTCATAAGACTCCCTCCCTCTCCACATTCTTTCTTTCCCAACTGCTCCTCTTCCTTTCCTTTTTCTTTCTTTCCCTCTTTCCTCTCCTTGCTCTCTTCCTTTTCCTTTCAAGTTTAGCCTTTCCCCTAGATAACAGGTGAACTTTTTCGGTCTTATTTTAAATTATTTTTAATTTTTTTTATTAATTACAGCTTATTCACTTATTCACTTATTCACAGCTGTAGCCCCCTCCTTCGTCCCCTCCCAATTCCACCCTCCCTCTCCCTCTTCTCCACCCATGCCCCTCCCCAAGTCCACTGATAGGGGATGTCCTCCTCCCCTTCCATCTGACCTTAGCCTATCAGGTCTCATCAGGACTGGTTGAATTGTCTTCATCTGTGGCCTGGTAAGGCTGTTCCCCTCTCAAGGGGAGGTAATCAAAGAGCTAGCCACTGAGTTCATGTCAGAGACAGCTCCTGTTCTCCTTACTAGGGTACCCACTTGAATACTGAGCTGCCATGGACACATCTGTGCAGGGGTTCCACGTTATATCCATGCATGGTCCTTGGTTGGAGTATCAGTCTCAGAAAAGACCCCTTTGGCCAGATTTTTTTGGTTCTGTTGCTCTCCTTATGGAGCTCCTGTCCCCTCCAGATTTTTCATCTCCCCCTCCTTTCATAAAATTCCCTGCACTCTGCTATGTTTGGCTATGAGTCTCAGCATCTACTTTGATACCCTGCTGGGTAGGCCCAGCACCTTAGTTTCCTTTCCTGTACTTTTCCAAAATAGCCAAAAGAGGATACCAACTACAAAGGATTCCATGTAGCTCCAAAGTTCTGGCGGCTTTCGGGGAAACCTCAAAACCCAGATTCTGCCTAGTCTCCTGGCCTATTCCTAAACTGTTTGGAGAGCTTAATCCTCAGTAGAACATGATGTTAAAGGGTGAAAGGAAAGAGTGAAAGCAAGCCAAAAAGCAGAACAATACCTAGGAAACGGACACAACACCATCCTTTTCATTGTGTCAAGGGGCTCCCTGGTGTCAACTGCACAGGCCTGTCCCACACCCTCCTTGAGTCTGGCCCT